AAGGCCACCTTCTGGCTCGTCGTCTTACCGAAATGGAGAATCCTCACTGCAAAGAGGCCCGTCTCATAGGCCATCCCCCTCCCCCGCCGTCCTACCTCCCCCCCCTGCCTGACTACCACTGCCCATGACGCATGTGGGAGGTGAGCGATTTAGCGAAGAGATAAACCTAGCGCCTTCAGGGCCAGTGACCAGTGTTTGTTTCTGCCTTGTGTAAAGTTAATTGGCTTAGATTTTCCAGGAACAAATGAGAGAAGCCCGTCCCCAGCGTGCAAAGATCAGGCCTGGTTTCTGATGAATTATAATTGCAAATAATGTTCTGAAATTGCATTAACTAATTAGTGGTCGGTGTCATTGAGTTCCCCCACCACCTGGGAGCGGGGCGAATGCATTGCATTAACTAATTAGTGGTCGGTGTCGTTGACTTCCCCCACCACCTGGGAGTGGGGCGAATGCACTGTGATATAAACAATATGCCAGGGCAATAACCCAAACCGGTTTCTCACCCCTCCCCACAGCCCGTATTCGGAGCGCACGAACCCTGCTGGCTTGAACTAGCCACCTGCCCGAGGCCTGGCCAGGAGTGAAGAGTGAAATCGATCAGCTGTGTCTTCCACTAGGTTGTCATGGTGCCGGAGTTGGGATGTGGCAGATCTAAGCAGCCCTATGGTTGCAGTGGACTAGACTGCAGGAGAGCTGGGTGCAAATCTCACCTCTGCCACTGACCTTCTGTGGGACCTTGGACGTCTCACTTTCCCTGTGCCTCAGTTTCCCCATCTGTAAAAGCGAGAGAATGCTCCTGACTTCCTGGAGCAGTGCTTTGAGATCTCCTGGTGGCACGGCGGGGGTGTTAACCATGAAATGTAGCCAGAGAAACAATCTCACCCAGGGAGTAACCCTTTGGCTTTTCTGCACCCCAAACCCACAGTTCGGCCCAGGCTTCTTTCCACACCCCTTGAGCCAGGAGTCCGGCTGGGTCTTGGCTAGAGCAGCGGATAGTGTGATTCGGCAGAAAATGGCATTTCCCAGACTTTACAGCTGTGGGCCTGCCATCAGGAAACTGATGCCGATCATGTCCTCTGCAGCCAAGTGCAAACGCCTGGGGGAGGCTGTTTGAGGGCCCATGGGGTCCCCGCTGGGCACTCTGGTCTGCCTTGCTGCTGGGCAGACCTCCCAGCTCAGTGGCCCAGCACCCCACCAGGCAGGGCAGCGTGCAGGCTCCCATAGGGCCGGTCGCGCATGCCTGGTCAATTACGCCTGCGCTCTCGCACCGGAGCTTGGAGCCAATCCTGCAGCAAAGGGCATGGAGAGCTAGTCAGGAGGAAGAGGAGGGACGCTGGCCTCTGGGATCTGCAAGCTCTATTTGGCCAAGTAGAGCTGCCCTCTAGCTACTCTCACAAAACAGGGCAGCGTGCAGGCTCCCATAGGGCCGGTCGCGCATGCCTGGTCAATTACGCCTGCGCTCTCGCACCGGAGCTTGGAGCCAATCCTGCAGCAAAGGGCATGGAGAGCTAGTCAGGAGGAAGAGGAGGGACGCTGGCCTCTGGGATCTGCAAGCTCTATTTGGCCAAGTAGAGCTGCCCTCTAGCTACTCTCACAAAACCGCCCCCCGCCCCCACTCAATCCATTCCCCTCCCCACCCTTGCTGATTTTCCCCAGGCTGGGCAGGGAGTTGAGGCAGAGGGGCTGCAGGCTCCGGCTGGGGTGCAGGATCTGGGATGGGGCTGAAGATGAGGGTTTGGGGCACAGGAGGAGGCTCCAAGCTGGGATTGAGGGGTTCAGAAAGTAGGAGGAGGATCAGGGCTG